GGTAGATAAAGAGGAGGTAGACGCAAAGGGAATTCATTAAGGGACATTGCCACTGCCAGTGCTGCTGCTTTATCCGTTTCCACAGAAGGCATTGTTAATCACAACAAGATTCTGCTAAATGAAGCTGAGGCAGTGTGGAAAATTGGAAAGTTATTGGGAATCTGGGATTAAGCTATGAAGGAGGGGACAATGAAATTGTGAGTCCAATCCGTGTTATGGAGGAAGAGAATGGCAGGTAACTTGATCGGCATAGCAAGGACGAATACCCAAGTATATAAGTAGTCCATTTGTTCTTGCCTAAGGTTAAAGGGTTTTTTTATTTTATCAATGAAGCTATTATCATGGAATGTCAGAGGTCAAGTGAAGAGGGAGAAGAAAACAGTGAGACTTAAGTGGTGGTGGCTGAAAGGAAGATCGATTTCTTGCTGCCATAGTGGCAGAAACTACTTGGGGAAGATGAGATGTACATTATGAAGCTGAAACATCAATGGGATTATGAAGAGGGTTTAGTTTTTCACTGTGTTTTGGGGTGTTTGAGAGATGATATTTTTTTGAAGATTGGGCATTTAGAGGTTTTTTGTATTGATTTGGATTGGCAGTTGTAATTTCTTTCATTTAGGAGTTCGGATTTTTATTTATTTAGGAGTTTTGGTGGCACCTTGGCATTTTTTTAGTGTTTTTGTGGCCTTTGGATATGCAATCGATGATGTATTTTTCCTTAGCCATTCTGGATGTACTCTCTTTGTATTCATTTGTTATACATCGGTGTATTTCTTTTTTGCCTATCAAAACAACTAGGTTGGCACGTGTTCTATATGCAAGCCAAAACCCAACCAAAAACAAAAGACAATAAACAAGACACCAAAACCTTCACTAACCCATCAGCACAACTTAAAAAGGTCCACAGCAGCAAAACAAAGACAAAAAACAGAACAGCAGCCTTGAAGTAAAATCAGCATCACAAAGTCTTCCCCTTGTTGATCCTTTAATGCAAGCTCATAATGCACCTTTCCAAGAAAAGTTTGTCACCTCCAGCTTGACTCATATTAGATTCCAATTAGATCAGTTATTCCTTTCTTGTAAATGTTTGCCGGCTCTGAGATACTCGGGTTTTGAAATTGGGTCCTTCATACATAGTTTTTTTTTTTTAAATGTTGGATAAAATAATAAGTATTTACAATTTTTTTTATTTGCTAATATCCACCCAAATTCTACTTATATATAATCACTAAAAGTATATATTAAATTTTATTTACATAAATCAAGATATGAAGAAATCATTACAACAACTAAAAAAATATAAAATCTTCAGAAAAAAAAAACTAAAAAATATAAAAATATAATCTTGTTGCTTTATGATTTAATAAATCTAGATTACAATAAAAGAAAAAAAAGAATTAAATAAAATATAAACTTATAATACAAAATAAAAATTAAACTAATGACAGTAAAGTATTAATTAAATAATACTTTTATCATAATTTTAAATGTAAAATTACTAATTAAGTATTCATGATTTTCTAGGGCCCTTTAGTTTAGATTGTGACAGAAATCCAATACACTGTCTTAGCAACAAAATAATAAATAAAAAAAAACCATAATAAACATGTCCATGTTGGCAGAGATGACACTTTTTGTTTGTTTGTTTTTATTTTTTGCAATCCAAAAGGAAATAAAAATCAACGATAATAGAAAAGGGTTTGCTTATTCATGAGGTGATTGGCAGCTTGGAGTATTTAAATTGTGGTTGCCTCTGCAATTGAATTTCCTTCCACAATAAGCGCCGACAGCAAAAGATCTAACAATTACAAACTTATACTAAATGTAAGGAGGTGCAACATATCAATGAACAATAGAGTACTAAAATGTACAGGGGATTTAGACTCTTTTTGTTTTGATAAAAGAAATATTTTTTGCTGTCCCATTTCAACCCATGGTTTTGCTTCTTTTTTTTTTTTTAATATAATTTTTCCTTTTGTTTTTTCTTTTTTATTGGTGTGTGTTGCATGCACGGCACACCCTGCTGTGCTTAAGCACAGTAGGCACCCCTTGTCCAGTATGTTAGTGGTTGTGATAGTGGTGTAGGTGGTGGGAAAGTGAGCTCAATAAAGGCTTTTTTATATTTTAATAGCACTAATTAAATTTTGTATAATCAAGTGAGTTTGTCATGGGTTCGTAATCCAAACATTTTATTACAAGACTTTGATAAGAAGTATGTTTTTAGTATCTATGATTGAAGTTTTTAACAATGATCTTTTTCCTGATATCTAAGATAAGGATTTTTTATTTATTTATTTTGACATTTAAAATGACGAGTATAACTTTTTAGACTTTAAATAAAAGAGTGTTAAAACTTAAGAAAATTCTATGGTGCACATCTCTTCAAAGGATGTGTGTTATATGTACTATGTCATATATTTTTGTGATGTTCGTTACGTATTGTTTTGATAGTGTTACAATAATTTTTTGTTCAAAAATGAAATTAAGCATTTTGTAATAATGTTACATTTTTTTATCCAAAAATTTGTTAACCACAAAAATGTATAATATTACTCCAAAATATGTAACTTGATTTTTGAATCACAAATTATCGTAACTCTATCAAAAAAATATATAACATTTGCTATAAAAATACGTAATAAAAGTGCATGTGGTATATACATTTTGAGGAGTGTGTACCATAACACTACCCTTTAACTTAATATTGTATTTGGTTCCTTTTTTTTTTTTTTTTAGAGGGGAATTGTATTTGGTTCCCTTGAACGAGATGTGACGAGAAGAAATAATTATTCCATAGGTTCTCCTTGAGGAGTATATCTTTTTTTTCTTTTTTTTTAATTATTTTTTTTATTACTTTATATAAAATGGTCCAAATTTCAAACCCAAAAATCGTTTCTTAATGGGTTTTTTTAGTATTTATCTTTTTACTTTTTATGAGATAAAAAAAAAGTAAATGAGAATGACTTCTTTTTTTTTTTTTTTAGTTATATCAAAATTTGTGAATTATTGCTTCTTCTTTTTTAGCAATTTAGAAAGTTTTTGACTTTTTTAATGACTTTTTAACTTTTTATTGATGTTTTAACTAATAAAATAGTCATATAATGAAGTTGCCAAATGGGCTCTAAATCAAATATATCTACCACATTAAATTAAAGGAAAAATTACAACAAAAAAAAAAAATCAAAATTTGATTATTTTAACAAAATAATTTTTTATTTTTAATTTTATTAATTTAAACTCTAAACTTGTTAAACCATGGGGCTATTTCTGTGAAGTAAAATTGAAGGAAAAATGATACTTTAGTTATTAAACTCAATGTAGATGTACACAAAATGTCAATATATATATTTTTTGGTTGATTTTTGTGATTAAAATATCATTTTTTTCTTATTTTTACTTAACTAAAATAAATAGATTATTTATATTGAAAGCAAATTAAAAATTTAAGATTTAAATTGATAAAATTAAAAAATTAGGATTTATTTGATTACAAGGATAAAAAGAATTTTTTTTATTATAATTTTCCCTCAATTAAAGTATGCTAAGAGAAAGAAACGTTTCATCAAGTGAGTGAGGGCAAGTTTGGGAACTAGTGAAAATAGTTAAAAGTCACCATAAAAAGGTCAAATTTTTCTCTATTTTTTGTATATATATATTTTATAAAAAATCAACTAAAATAATTAGTTCTCAAAATAATCCTAAGGCTAAGTTTGCTTTATAGCGATCCCGGGTTTACCCTTGTTGTACAGTGACCCGGACATGTGTCCGTGGGTGTTGGTTGTTGTTTATTATCTTGTTTGCATCCTTTTTACTTCGTGTTTGAGTTATAGGATGTGTTGGGCGGGTTTGTTACAGGTTGGTTGAGTTTAGAAACCAAAACTAGTTGCCCAGATTTTTGGCCTGTCCGCTCGAGCGGAGATGTTAGCGCTCGAGGTTAACATGTAATACTTATGTCTTGGAATTCTAATGAATGAAAGGAATGCGGTTAGTTTAAATGTAAATGTATGTCTTATTTGATGGGTGTCTTGGAATTCTAATGAATGAAAGGAATGCGGTTAGTTTAAATGTAAATGTATGTCTTATTTGATGGGTTTATTGTTATTATTTTGAGGGCGTTACATGCTTAGAATGAAAAAATAAACAATTAAGGAAATAAATAGTAGATTTTTTTTTTCTTCTTTTTTTCTTGAGTTTGTTTAGCATGAAAGTAACAAGGAAAATATAAGAAAATTTAAATTTATTATAAAACTAATTATTTATAATAAAAATTCATATTTTCTTATAAAATTTTCATCCTAATCGAATTCATACAATTTTTTTTTCTTTTCTTTCATTTCACTTTCCGTCATTTTTACTTTCTGTCATTTATTTCTTTTTAATAAAACAAAGCCTAAGTGTAGAATAATAATTTCATTTTAAAACGTGATTCTTTATGTAAATCTACTGGATAAAAGACATTTTTAATCCTTAAAATATGCATTGTTTGTTATTTTAATCTTTTAAATTTTAATTTTATCATTTTAATTATTAAAATTGTCAATGTACAAAAATAAAATGATAAAATTAAAATGACAAATAAGGCATACTAAAAACCCTCCCATCCTAAATCTACTCTTTTTAACTTTGAAATAAACAAACACAACAATTTAGTTGGGGGCAAACCTGAAAGTTAATTGAATTGGCATTCACTGAAAGTTAATTGAATTGGCATTCAACTAGGAGATTCGTTTTTATGTTCTTTAACCCTCGCGTTTTCCACCTTCTGATTGAAATATTGTTGAAGACTGACCATATAAGTAACACGACTTCGTTTTCCGATTCGGGACCAGAGCTCGACATGAGCGATATGCTCGACGATCTAGTAGTCTTTTCCTTGGTTGGGTTTGGGTTCCATTCTATCTATCAATTCTTCTGGCATACTAACAAACTGGAGAGTTTTGAGGTTTCTGAGGTGGTGGATGCTAGATGGTACCTCCTTTAGTTGCGAGCTAGGCTCAAAAGTTAGAAGTTCAAGAAGAGGCAATGCTCCTTCCTCTATTATCACCGAATTCAATCCCTTCAACCCTACGAGACGTAGTTGCTTAAGTTTTTGAAACCTTCCGACCTCAAAATACAACTGTTCCCCATCATATGCATCAACAAGAACAAGAAGTACCAAACTAGGCAATTCTTGAAGAGCTTTTAGTGGATCATTCTTGGTCAAACTTGAACCCAATAGACGTAATGTGACTAGATTTTGAAGTTTCAAGTTCCAGTCAGGAAATTTCTCTAAACGTCCAACCAACTCGAAATATTGAAGATATTGAGGTGGAGATGATATATACTGTACATCCAGAATCTCATCATCGCTTGAGGCCCTTACACTCAAACGTTTAAGGTATTTCATCTTCTCAATGGCTGTACATAGAGCCCTCCCATGTTTTCTTCTCAATTTCATAATTCCCAACTTCCTCGACTGCCTCAAATTCTCAAGCTCTTTAATTAGGCCATGATTTGTCCGCATATACCACAAACTTTGTAGCTCCTCTAAACCTCCAATCCCTCCATGTATCTTCACTCCTACTATATAATCTACCAAGTAATTAGATTCATGGTTACGAGAACAGGCAAGAAGATGTCGTAACTTATGGAATCTACTGATATCAAATGGGAGCTCTCTCACTGGGGAATGTTTTAGATCCAAAGTTTGTAGGTTGTGTAACTTACCTATGGACTTTGAAATTATCCCCACATTTGTTCTCCTTATGCTTAGGAATCTCAAAAGAAATAGATTTCCCACTTCTTCATGAAGTCGATGCAAAGGAGCATTCTGAAGATCCAGTACTTTCAAAAGCTTGAAATTTGCAGCTAGTGTGCCCAAGAAGGGCTTCTTTGGCAGCTCTCCCACTTGAAAAAGAAAAACAGAACGAACTAGGGATTTACCAATGCTTTTCATAACCTTATCCATGTTGCAATAATGCATATGCATAGATAGCTACCGAGTTGTGTCATTGAAACTTGAATTCTCTTCCAAAATTTGACAGAAACTAAACTCGTCAGACATTGAGAGAATAATCTCACGCACTACATCATGTACCTGACACCATCCAACTCTTCCATCAAATTTTGTTGTTGACACTAGAACTAAGCGTCTATGGATCAGCTCAATCAAGCATTCTTCTGCAACTTCTTCCATTATTTTTCCTTTCTGCTCTTCAATGAAACCCTCGGCTATCCATAGCCAAATTAGTCTTCCATAACTGATAGAGTAGTCCTCTGGCATTATGCCAAAGTACAAGAAACAAGATTTGAGGTAGTGAGGCAGATCATTATAACTTAACAATAAATTTTTTTGATGCTTGTAAGATTAGGATTCCTTTCCAATTCAGAGTGCATGCTACCGTAGAGTTTTTGCCATTCAGATATACCCTTGTTTTTGGTGGACAAGAGACCACCTATAGCTGCAATTGCAAGTGGCAAACCTTGACACTTTCTAACAATTGCATGTGATAATTCCTCCAACTTAGGGGGACAATGACCCTCAAAGTCCAATTGGAAGGCTTTCTTGCAAAAGAGTTCCCAAGCCTTCTCTTCAGATAAGGGTTGATGCTCATGGACATGATCCACTAAAGTTTCTTTGCAAAAACCAACAACCTGCCTGTTGCGTGTGGTGATGATTACCCTACTGCCTTTACTATTATTGGGTAAAGCATGTGTTATGGATCACCAAAAATCAGTTTCCCATACATCATCAAACACAATGATGTACCTCTTTTCGGATAAATATCCTCTTAACTTGACAATGAGTGACTCAATTCCCTCATCAGGTAGAACATAAATTCCTGATAGCTGCTTTATCATTGTTTTGAGGAGCTCCTCTGGTTTGTATGATTGAGAGACAGTGATCCACACTTTACAATTGAAGTGTGCAACCACTTTTTGGCTGTCATAAACTTTCTTGGCAAGAGTGGTCTTGCCAATTCCACCCATGCCAACCACCGAGATCACTGCTTGTTGTGATTGATTTTGGTCAACCA